GTTTTTGTCAATTCAATGAATTAACTGGTTATTTTGCCTTTGGTGTTCTGCTCCATTGTGTAAAAGCTGCCTCATTTCCAAGACAATCAAAGTGTGATTTCTTGCAGCCAGAGGAGCCAGATCACCCAGAGACTTCCTGGAGGGCAGGGGCTCTGTCTGGTATTGCTGAATTCTGTGCAGGGCTGCAGTTTGTTGATTGAATGAAGGAAAAGATGACTGGTGGGAGGTGTGCCTAGAAGATGAGTGGAACTGGGGTCATGCCAAAGCCCAACCAAGACTTTCAATGCCCTCCAAGGCATGTTCGGGACTCCCCAGCCTTCCTTCAAGTTACAGGGGCCACACTGCAGCAAGACCTTCCCTAGTGAAAGTCCCTCTGGAGAAAAACCTCTTCCCCAAGGCAGAGGCACTGCCTTACTGGTGGGGGCTTGGGTCCTGTCCTAGGGCTGGGTTGTGGCTTTACAACAGTTTCCCTTCTCAAACAGATGGCCTTTGGCAACTGTGAACATCTCTCTAGACTGGACACTTGGGGGCTTCCCCACAAAGCTCTGACCAGCCATCCACTGATGGCTTGAACCCTTTGGGCTGGTTGCCCAGCCTTCCCAGGAGGACTGGACAGCATCAGCCTGTGCTTCCCGGCAGGAGCAGCCGAAACCCGGCTGACTTTCTACCAGTGTTGCAGGATGAATTGTTCAGGCCCCCATCATTCTCTCTGCACCACCACCTCCCAAATCGCCCTTCTCCTTCTCTATCCAGTCTATTAAAAATAAAATGACTTGTAAAAGCTTTTTTCCCTCTGAATACAAAAGGAGCCCCTGCTCATTAATAAAACTCCAGGATTTATAGAATACTGCATGTGGATATTTAAAGAACTAGAAATGTGTGGAGGGGCAGATACCCAGGGACCCTGGTTGGAACTCCACCTCTACCACTGTGTGACCACAGGGAACAGCTTTGCCGACCAGCTTTCTGATTCGCAAAATAGAAACAATAATATTTTGCTTCTCCTAGTTGATATGGGGTTCAGTTACTATTTGGACCCCTTCTGGCACACAGTAGACGCTCCGTAAGTGCTTGTTAAATAAGTGGCGATTTAGGGAAGAGTCTACCAGGAGCCACACCACATTTTTGAGAGGTTAGAGTTGTGCTAGGGAGGGGAGGCCTCTTATGTAATATTTTAATATCTCTTTAAACCAGGAGAATGTGTTCTTGTAGCACTCTTGTAATTAAAACTTAATGAAATAAAAGTACACCCCCACAGACCCCCACCCTTTGAACTCCGGAGCCACGCCCCCCAGTCCGGGGGCCCCTCGGGCAGCAGACAATGGGTGTGGATTCGTCCGAGGCCCAGCCGGCTGGGGCAGCGACAATACACCAGCCCTGGACACGTATTTACATGACAAGGGCCCCGGGCATTTCTCAGAGCTGTCCCGGGCGTGTCTACCCGAGTTCCCGTCTTTCCAAACCAACTGCCTCGGGTCGGGTTAAATTGCTTGGGGGGCCTAGTGGGCTAGGATCCTCTAGGGGCTGCAGAACTGGAGGCGGAGTCCCCTGCGATATCCGGCAATGGGTGACTGATCTGGGGGCTCCTCCCGCTTTCTCTGACTTCTGAGCCCTAAACCCCAGGGACATCATGCTCTCCAGAAACAGCCTACCCCCAAAAGCCTGGGTCAGGGACCTCAGGGGTGAGAGTGGGGGGGAGGGCGCGAGCAACTCCCGCGAGTCTCGCTCGTGGGGACGCCGCCTGTGCGGGACCGGAGATCCGAGCTGACTCCAGTTGGGAGGGCGCACTGTGCCCCTCCTTCGCCGCGCGGGTCCCGGGTCTACACCGGCCGCCAAGCTCTGGCCCTTTAAGAGCCCGCCCCGTTTCCCGTCACCCCGCCCCCCGGGCCGGGGAGGGGGTGCGGGGGAACCTCGGCGGGGATTGGCGCAGCGCGCGCCCCCTCCCCGGCCCCCGCGCGGTGGGAACCGGCAGCCCCGTCTAGCGCTGACGTCAGACCGTCTGCCTGCCTCCGACCGCGGTCTCGGAGCGAAACCCGATCTCCTTGGACTTGAATGAGGAGGAGGCGGCGGCGGCGGCGGAGGCGCTCGGCTGGGGGAAGCCAGCGGCAGAGGCTCAGCCCCGGCGGCACCGCGCGCCCCGGCTGCCAGCCCATTTTCCGGACGCCACCCGCGGACACTGCCGACGCCCCCGGGGCTGCCGAGCGGCGGCCGCGGGGCGCGGAGGAGCGCGGCCCGGCGCACTGAGCCCCGAGGCGCCCCGGGAACTTGGCGGCGACCCGAGCCAGGCGAGCCGGGGCGCGCCTCCCCCGCCGCGCGCCTCCTGCATGCGGGGCCCGAGTATCGGGCGCAGGCCGGAGCCCCCCCCGGCCGCCCCCGCGCCCCCCGCGACCCGTGCCGCGCCGCCGCGCCGTCCATGCACCGCTTGATGGGGGTCAACAGCACCGCCACCGCCGCCGCCGGGCAGCCCAATGTCTCCTGCACGTGCAACTGCAAACGCTCTTTGTTCCAGAGCATGGAGATCAGTGAGTGACCCTGCGCCCCCTCCCCGGAGGCCCCGTCAGACTCGGACCCGGTGTCGGGGCGCAGCTGCGGACTGGGGCCCGGGAGGTGCGCGCCCCCTCGGGCAGTGCGCCCGGCGCCCCGGCTGCGCCCGGCGCGTCCCGGGCGCGCCCTCCCGGCTCGCGGCAGCTGGCGTCCGGCCCGGCTTTGTCCCGCGGCGCTGCTAGCCTGGCACGGCCCCCGCTGCCCGCGCCCCGCCCGCCCGGACTCGGACCCGGGGCCCAGCGGCGGCGCGCGGCGCGGGAGGTGCTGGGGCGGCCGAATCCGTGAAGTTTAAATTTTATTTCCCTCAGGGGCTGTCGCACTGGCGCAATTAGGCCGGCTCTTTATCAACTTTGGCCGGGGGGTGGGGGTGGCCGTGTGAGACACTGTCTGGTCTGTGAAGTGTCTGGGGCCGCAGTGTGTGTCTGGAGTGTCTGTGGCGCTGCGTCGCGATGTCAGAGAGTGGATTTTGGTGTGTCCATGGGGTGTGCGCTTTGGCGTGTCTCTCTCGGGCTTTGGCGTCTCAGGAGTCTCCGTGCATCTCTGGGTTGTCCGTGGGTCTGAGGGAGTCCCAGGAGTGTGTCTCCTAGTCTCCCTGAGCACCTGTGTCACTGTGGGGGATCTAGCCATTCTCTTGCCTGTGTGCATCTCCGGGGGTCTGAGATCTGCTGAATCTAAGGACCAATTATGTCCAGGTGTCTGTGGTCCAGGGCTTACACGGTGCCTCTGGCCCAACGTGGATCCCCAGTTCGTGTCATTGTGACTGTCTGTGTCCCGACGCACCTATAAATAGCCTCTGTCTGGACAGCTTGGCTCAGTCTGGCTGGGACCATGGTTACAAATGAGTCAAAGTTTGGGACCGTTTGTGGTTGGGACTGCCTTGCCCCAGAAGGGGGCAGTGGATTAGGAGTGGGTGGGGAGCAGGTGTTGAACCCTGGGCTAGTCGCATCCTGTACAACCGGAATCTGAGCAAACACCCTCTGCTTCCTTTCCTCAGTAGCCCACCCAGGTGGATGTTAGGTTGGGTGGGGAGTTGAACCCTTACTCCTTGGTTCTGACTTCTAATAACTCCTTGGTTCTGACTTCCTTCCCCTGGTCCACTCTTTTGGGGACCCTTTGCCTCCCTGAGCTATAGTTTCCTCCTCCTTGTCCCCTAGCTCCCTGGGTACAGGGACACAGCTCTTCCCTGCTGATGGCAGCCTTCTTCCAGTTGGGACCAGGAGCCCACGGGCAACTGTCATGGAACGAGGGCAGTCGCTAGGAATGAGGGCAGTCGCTAGGTGACTCATAAGCCAGTTTCCGCAGGCGGCTGCCACAGTTTGGGGCCCCTGAACCTGTATAGTGAGGTGCAAGAAGTAAAAATAACCCATGACCAGACTGGCAGGGGCAGAGTGGCCAGGCTTCAGTAATGGGTCCTTCTACCCCTTGGCCCACGCCGGCCCATCCTGAAATTGAAAACTGGGCTCTCTACCCACCCACCCCACCCCACCTGTGCAGACCAGGAGGTCCAGGAGAAACTGCCCAGAGCCAGAGTTTGGGGAACTGGCTTGCATTAGGCTTGATTGCTTCCCAGAGGCCATTTGTGCACTGGGGGTGGGGTGGGGGTGGGGGTGGGGTCATGAAATGCTTCATGACGTTATTAAAGTATGTTGGCACCGGTCTGGGGAGAGGCTGGCCCTTGCTCTGGGCTGCTCAGTACCCTTGCTGCCTTACGTATGACTTCCCCCACTCGGGAAAGCTGCCTTGGGGAGGGAGCTCCCCAGCACGGAGTTCACATCACCTGTCAGCCAATTCCAGGATCTAGGTGTAGTTGAATGTTCTGGTTTTGTCCTCTCTTTACTTCCCGGTCATTCTTCTGTCCCTTATCAGGCTTCATGGGCACCACGGTGTCATGTTGAACCCCTTGCCTGGGCTCTGGGCACTTCCCAAATACAGTATTTGAGGGGAACCCTGGGGGTAAGTGCTTGAAACGGTGACCTATCCCTGGGTGCCCCAATTAGGTCCTCCCTGTGTTTCCGGGAAGAAGGCCTCAAGGCAGGGAGGGAACGCGTCTTTAATATGTGGGTATAATGTAACATTTGTTGCAAGTGTTAATCAGATTTCCCTGAAAGGCTGGGCTGGGGAGCCTTAAGGCCTCTGGTTCCCTGGAGTTTCTTTACAACAGAAGATAAGAAGGGAGAGAGGGAGGGAAGGATGGAAGGAAGAAAGGGGAGAAACTAATAAGGGCTGGTGAGTTCCACCTCGTAGTCTTGGGAGCTGCTTGTAGCCCTTGTAGAACTTTGAAGATAGATTTGGAGTTGGGCCTCAAGGCAGTGTCCATGGGGTTCTTTTATTAAAAAACAAAAACAAAACAAACAAACAAAAACTTTCTGCAAAAGGAGATTGACTTCTGAGGTCCCTTAAGCCATCCTGAGCCTGTTTTCCTCACCTGAAAGATGAGGCTAGGATGGGTGAAATCTAAACTTCTACAGTCTATCCAGGTTCAGCCTTTGTTCTCCAAGGTCTGGCTCAAGGATCCCTCTCTACCAGTGAGTGGGTTCCCCTGTGTGGCCTTCAGCTGCCCCAGTTTGAGACCTGGGAGGATCCTTGGTGAGCTTGGCGTTTGCACCCTTGGCTTGGAGATGAGGGAATCAGCAGTGCAAAGCGTTGCCCAAGGCCCCCAGCCTACCCTCATCCCAAGTTTGGTCCAGTATTTATGCAGACTGCACCCTCTACCTCCTGAATTGGGGACTTGGGACCCAGAGAAGATGCACCTTGAGCCTGGGAGCAGGAGAGTTTTAATTAGGTATTCCGGTGATCCCACTTTTTGGATAATTGAGAGGTGGAATTCACTGTTCCCAAAGCACACAATGAAAAAATACGCAGTTCTTTTACAGAGCCAGGGGTCCGAGGATTCAAAGCCACTTGCAGGAGTGAAGTGGCCCTAGAGGACTTTCTGGGCACTTTGGAGGACAGCTGTCCTCCTGGCTCACATTTCTCTTGGCACTCTTTTCAGTTCTGCTGAAGCTCTCAGAAGTAACTGTCTCTCTCCAGCCTGAATCTTGATGGCAGGTAGATGCCAACCACACTTTTAGACAACCCAGACTATGGGCCACACTGCACTAGCCCCTGGGGAGGGTGCCCCCTGCCCTGGACCTGCCACTGTGCCGTCACCTACAGTGGCTGTCTTGTTTGTCGGCACCGCTGTCTAGCTGGGGTCCTTGATCCTCTGATTTCTCTTCTCCAACCTGTTCCAAAAAATGCTTCAAAACCTTAGAAACTCACGGGACACCAGTTCTCCATTGGCGGATCTGGCGTGAGCTGCCCAGGTTTTGTCGTTGCCTGAACCCAGGGTCTGTCCACCTCTCCACTAGGACCTTCTGGGTCAGATAAGTTCTGCTGGTTGGCAGAGAAAGGCTGTCCTGCACAGTACAGTGTTAGCAGCACTCGTGGCCCCTACCTGCTCGGTGCCAATACTCTTCTCAATTGCCAGCCAAAGGTGTCTCCAGACATGGTTGGTGCCCCTGCCCAGCAACCACTGTCTACTTAGCTGTTGGTTCCCCAGGAGTCAGACTGCTGACTGCTAGAGATGGACCTTGATTCCCTTCAGAAATTAGTCCCTGTAAAGGCCTGGGGAAGCTCACTCTCCAAGTTGGCACCTGCCACTTATCCACTCAGCCTTTAGGGAGCACCTGTTGTGTGCCAGGAGGGAAGGAGGGGCCCCTCTGAAGACGAAGTTCTGGCTCTCACTGGGACGAGGGGAGATGGGAAGGCATGGGTGTCAGCCAGCTGCTCTGCCCTGGGCCTCTGCGCAGGACTCTTGCCCGCCAGCTTCCTGGCTGCCTGAGTCTGAGGTCATGGTACAGCCAGGGAGTTGAGTGTTGTGGCTGTGCTCTGAGAGCAGACTCCCAGGGGACCGCACTGTTCCAGCCGTGCTGTGCAGAGGGTCAGGGGCCAGTCGGTATTTGTCAAGACGTAGAAGACTGCGTCTGCCCACACACGTATACGTGTGCTTGCACACTTACATACTCACAGCTCCCCCACCCTTCCTGCCTTCTCTACCAGCTTCAGTTTGGGTTGGAGATGGTTAAAACATCTAGGTATGCAGGAGAGAAAGAGGAAAGAGAGGGTGCCTCCCCAGGAAGCCCTGCAGAGCTGTGTGCTCCACCTTCAGAAGAGGAGGAAAGTGAGGGGGCTGTCCCCCAAGAGCCGCTGGCTCAGTTGTGATCGGACTGCAGGACCAGAGTGTTGAGATGTCCATGATGTGGTCAGTCATTTAAAAGTAAGGAGATGTCCAGGCACAGGGTGGGGTATAGGGCCCAAGCCAGAGGACCTGCGAAGCCTCATCTCCTCGGGAGTTGCACTCCACAGAGCTAGGCACCTGGAATCCTGCCCACAGGGAAGCAACTCCTACAGATTGAACTTTGAAGGCTGTCGTCTGGCCAGCCCCAGGCTCCTGTATGATGCACAGGCTGAGAGGGGATCAAAGCTAAGGCTCCTCTTTGCTTTTAAAAGGTGTTGTGTAACGCAGGCGTGGTGGGGACACGTGTAGGACCGAGTGTCTGCGGCGCCTGCTTTCATGGAGCAATGAGGGTGGCACCGCGCTGGTCAGGGCTGCCCGAGGCTGGAGGGCAGGGTTCCGGGGAAACTCAGTTGCCTTTGAGGTGCACCTCAGGGAGCTGGGGTGAGTCTTGTGTAAAGGGGTTCCTGCAGGCTGGGGGACCAGCACTCAGTGGTACAGCACTTGCCTGGCATGAGCAAGGTCCTGGTTCCATCCCCACTATTGCAAAAATTAAATTAAATAGAATAAAATAAAATAAAGGAGCTCCTGTTTCCACTCAGCTCTTCTTTGCATGTGGGCCCCAGGTGGCCAGGTCTTTCAGCTCCAGGGACCGAGCAGGCTAGATCTTGATGTAAAGCTCCTAGAGTTATTATGATTATTTAGTGCTTCTTTGCAGTGCTGAGCTTGAAACCCAGGGTGTTGGCACACTCTAGGTATGTGCTCTGCCACTGAGCTGCACCCCAAGCCCACTAAACTTCTGGGTTTTAAACAGTGACAGTTCCTTTTTTTCCTCCTCCCTGAGAGGCCCTATGAAACCTGCCCGCAATGTGGGTATGTATGGTAGTGCACGCCTGTCAGCCCAGCTCCTCGGGAGGCTGAGCAGGAGGATCACAAGTTGAGGCTGGCCTGGGCAACGAGCAAGCCGCGTGTTGAAATAAAAAAATGAAAAGGGCTGGTGCCCTGGCTCAGTGGTGGAGCAGTGCTGCGCTCAGTCCCTAGGACTGCCAAAAAAAAACAAAACAAAACAAAAAAACTGCTCACAGACCCAGTCTGCCCTGTCTATGGCTTGTCCTGCAGGGTGACCAAGGATCAGATGGATGGACATCCTGAACTTGCCGTCACTGGGCATGGCTGTGCGGTGTGGTCCCAGTGATGCCGCGTGCATGCTGTTTCTGGTGTCCAGAGATCATCCCCAGGGCTGTGGCCCTGCTGTGAGTTCATTGGTGGGGGATGGCAGTGGATTAGACTCCACTGTCCATTTTGCCTCGTCCTTGGAGGCCACCCTCTGGCACACTGTCACCAGGAAAAGGGTTCCCAGTCTTGGGACCAGCTGGGAACGCCAGAACCAACAGGCCCACCTGGAGACCCCGACATTGAATGTGGAGGTCGTTGGATATTCAAGTCACATTCCCCATCTTTCCAGGCCCACCGCAGACTGAGCTACCAAAACCCCAGCTGCCCACCCCTGGTGCAGGAGGCCTTGGGGCTGTCCTCGGGGACCTCCATACCAGCAGCCTTGGTGCCCAGGGGCTGGGAGGGGAGCAGGAAGCACAGAGCTAGGGTGGTGCCATCAGCACCACCCCACGTTCAGGTACTTCGCTGCTCCAGTCCACAAAGCAACCAGGAACAGAAAGCCCAGAAACCTGTGATGGTTTGAGATTCCCGGTTTTGGGGTCACTTTCAGGTTTTCAGAAGTGAGCGTCCATGCAGAGCAGACCGTCTCGGCCAGGACCTGGTCTCTGCAGCCACCCTCAGCTCCTCCCTGAGCACTGCTGCTGCCTCCTCCCCCAGGTGGGCTGCACCCTGCAGGAAGCCATGGCAACACCCAGCCGGCAGCCAGCCTCTTTTCCCATCCCGTGACACTACAAAGCCAAACCCTGACACTTCTGGGGTCTCTTCGGGGTCTTGTCAGTCACTGGCAGAAGCGACTGTCACCAAGCTGGGAAAAATCACAGAAAGAACGGCTGGCTGATGGGGGCAGGGGCTTCAGCACTGCCGGGTGAGCCTGGGAAAGTTTGGAACATCTCTGCACTCTCTGAGAGTCAGAGTGGCTTCTCTTCTGTTCCCAAGTGGCTGGTAGACTTTTCCTTCTCCTGCTTTCCCTAGCTGGATGTGGAGATATTAGTTAGTATGTGCCAGGCACTAGTGACCAATTTTTCTCAACCTTCAAAGCAACTCTGTGAGCAAAGCCATTGCTGTCATCAACTTGCAAATATAGGCCCAGAGAGTGTAAGACGCTTGCTCCAGGTCACAGAGCCAGGAACTGGAGAGAGGCTGAACTCACACCCAGGCTCCCTGGCCCCATAGCCCGTGCCTGTGCACTACCTCGTGCACACCACACCCAGCCCCTGTGCCCCGGGCTGCTTTGCAAGCCTCACCATTGCAGTGGTATTTTAGGTCTTGTCCATCTTGGCCCGTCCATTAGGGAAGAATGCTGACAGCTCTGTCACCCCCGAGAAGGCAGCTGGGTCCACTCCAGAAGTCACTGGCCGACGTTCCTTGGAAACGTGCGTGTCAGTCTGCGTAAGGAGCCAGAGTCTGTTCCTCCAGCGCCTGGGCACATCCGGACACTGGCATCAACAGATGTCTCGGTGGTTGCTGGGTGCATGGCTGGTGTACATCCCACCCCTGGAGGGGCCAAATCAAGGCCTGATGGGGACAAGGTGGGACACAGAGCATCTTTAGGTGCTCCGGTGTTGGGTAGCATTTGTCATATGCCTGCTGGTGTGATTCAGGTGAACTTGGCCCCTCTGAGACATCAAGGACGTGCCAGTCCATTTCAGGGAGGGAGTGGAGAGGAGTGTGTGCAGGGAGGTCCCCCCACTGGTCTCCCTGTTGGTGTCCAGGAGCTCCTGGTGGCTCTCCTGATCACACTGTCCTGGCAGTAGCTACGAGTCCATGTAGACAGTTGTGCTGTGTCTATTTCCCTCCAGTCGCCAAGCCCCTGCCTCCTGTCTGGTAGGCACCTCATGTGCATCTGGTGAGGTAAAGAAATAGGCAGGGTGGGCAGGCAGGCTGGCTCCTAGATGCTCCCAGCAGGGCAGGACATGGATGAGGTATGGACTTTGACAACCATCAGTCCCTCTCATGCCTTCACTTGCTCTTCTGAAGTGGAGGGAGGGGTTTGCACCCACCGTAGAGTTGTCAGGACATTCGCTGAAGCTATGACAAGCCCCCCTGGCACCAAGTATTATTTTTAATGCGCTGAAGAAGTTTCTACCATCAGCGGCAGGAAGCTGTGCCTTCGCCTCCTACCCACCAGCTCCAAGACAGCCAAAGCCAGCCCAGGGCGGGTGCAGAAGAGGATGCAGGCCTGTGCCTTCCCACTTCCGCCCCAGGGGCGGGGGCATCAGGACCACAAAATGCATTGCCAGGGCCTGCCCCCCCCGCCTGCCCGGAGAGAGGGTTTCCAGGGTGACTCTTCCTGCACACATCACTGCGGACTTGAGCAGTGTTGGCTACTCTCCTTCCCTAAAGGGTTTGGCAGCCTCCAGTGGAGCTTGCCTTTGCTCAAATGTGACCTTGAGAGGCCGCACGTGACTCACGTGCGTTCGGATCTGCCTGATGTTCCTGTAATTTCTAATATGTGTTTGTTTCAGAAGACGGCAGCTCAGAGTGGCCTGCAGTGACGTGGGAGGGTGTCCAGCGCTGGGAAATGCGGCCACTGCTTTGCTTTTCCTTCTCGTGGATTTTGACTAAAACCATTTGTCATTGTACCCGTGGGCTTGGGAAGTGGCTCTGATGGTAGAAGAGAGACCTTTAGTTATTTGGTCACAAGTTTCATATCCCCCTTGGCTCTGGCATCTGGATACCTGGAACTGGCTTGCATTTGGTCTCCTCGAGGTGACCCTTGGAGTTTCACTATCCTCTAGAACTGACACCACCTGCTGCTTCTTGGTGGCAGTGCTGGGCTGCCCTCAGCCCTCTGAACAGTCAAGCAGTTCAAGTTTTGAGAAAGTGTCCCATGTAGTCTGCCCCGACACGGGTGCCGGGGGTGGCAGGAGGCTGTGTGGGTCCTGGCTGGGCTGTTAGCATGGCATTCTTGGGGCAGCGCAGAGGAGTGTGGTCCTCCTCAGCTGCTGGGGGTGTGGGTGTTGTTGGGTAAAGTGCGGTTTCTGGTGGGGTCTGTCAGGGATGGCTTCTGTTGTCACTGATAGGTTGTCATTGATTTCATTGATCAGGGGTGGAAGAGTGTCTGTTGGTCCCTAAGGTCACTAGGATGTGATGTGTCCACTCTTGGCTTTGAGAGCTTGGAGTGAAAGTGACAAATCCCACAATCATTTATTAGGGTGTTAGTGTCTGAGAATGTAAAAATGTTCTGTGACATCTGAAATGACATCTTCACGTGTGTACAGCGTGCCTGTGTTTTAGGACATGTGTGCACACACGTGTACTAGCTGGGAATGTGTGACTCTGTCCACCAGGGCCGGAGGCTCCAGTGCTCCTGCCTCCTCCCAGTCTCACCCTGAGTCCCACTGGCAGGTGAGGTCAGTTTCCCAGGCTCTGTCCTTGGCAGAAGGGCAGTGGGCAGTCATTTCCCAGAAGATTTGGCAAAGTTAACCACCCTGTCCCCAGGGTTTTCCAGCCAAGTGGTCTGGGCTGTCTGATTGCCCGCTGCTCCCTGGGCTCAATGTTGAGGGAACGCCGTGCCCCCCACTTGCCTCCCCTGGCCCATGGGACAGTCCCGCGGGGCAGGAGGTGTGTTGCCAGGTCCTGGGTTGAGGCTGTAAAAGCTATGAGGTCTTCAGGAAGGGACTCCTCCCTGAACTTAGCTGCCATGCATGTTCCTGAGCGAGGGTTCAGGATTCCTGCGCTGAGGTGAGGAAAGAATCATCTGTTCCGCCCCAGCACGGGCTCCGTGCCAGTGGCGCTCAGTAAACCATGGGGGGGTGACGGGAGCTGGCAGGCAAGTCAGGTGTCAGCTGGGTCTCATCCCCTCCTGCACCAGGCTGCCCACTAGATTGGGACACCCTGGGCCCAGGGGCAAACTCGGCGGCAGA